GTAGATATTTTTATTTTTACAAAATAGTGCTCAATGTAAATTTACAGAGCATTAATATTATAAATTAACTGATTTAAAATATGTTTTTTACGCTACACAGTTCTAACCATGTTTCAAAAATGGAAGCTAAAAGCTTCGAATTTAATTTTGTAATTAAATTAAAGACATTAGTTCCATTTCATCCTCAAACGAATTTTGGAGGAATTTATTTTTAAAGTTACTGGGTTTTAAAGGCACTGCAATAATTCATAATTTACGTTTCCAAGGATACAGAGAAATCCATTCATCTAGACAAGGGGTGTTTGCGTGTTCATTATCGCTGTATTTTGATGTATCAGTTATTAGTTACGTTTTGGTAGGGGGGATATATATATATATATATATATATATATATATATATATATATATATATATATACAATTATTATTATCACGGTGGAGTAATAGATAGCGGATCATATTGTGTAGTTTGAATTCTTATCGAATCCATTACATTCATTTACGTGCTAATCCCCTTGGGAAAGGTATGAATCCGCTTCTTCTCCCCCACAGCTATGGTTAAATAACATGACAGACATGGTTCTATAGTCTTGGATGGCAACTGGTCTACCGTAGAAATAAATGGCAGCCTCGTCAGTCATGGATGACAAATAAAGATACAGATTAGGGGTAGATTCTCCGACTGACGTCAATTCAGCCGGGTTTCGATCCTCGCTAGAGGCAACCTTACGTCTAGCCACACTGATGAGCTGCGAACCAGTCTGTTCGTGGATGGCAATATATATATATATATATATATAATCTTAAGAAAGAGAAAGAACAGATGGAGTTAGAATCATCAGTTCTTAGCATTTACTTTTTAAAAAAGTGCTCAATACAAATAAAAAAGATTATATTTTCATTATAACAGATTACAATAAAAACATTTTACATCGCTACACAAAAACGATGACTTGTCTAGAGTGTCAATTTATTAAGACAGGACTTAATAACCTACTTCCCTCCACCCTCTGACCTTATATTTAATTTTTCTATTTTAGCTTAAATCTGACTTTTATTTGGTTAATCCAGACATGCCCAGAAGTATATATATACTTTTAATTCAGATATTAGGCTTCCCCTATTATTTAACTTTCAAAGGAGTTAAAAATTTGTTTTCAAATTTCCCAAATAAATCCTTTTTAATTTGTTATTTACCATCACTCGAAGATGAACGATTATAGTTCCAAAACAAGAAAGCTTTTCTGTAGCGATGTAAAATGTTTTATTATAATCTATTATAATAAAAATATTATATATATGTATATATATATAATATTAGTGGTCAATATACACACATATATATATATATATATATATATATATATATATATATATATATATATATATGTGTGTGTGTGTGTGTGTGTGTGTGTATATATATAAAAAAAATTCCCAAGAGGATAGAATCCACATAGAACTCAATGTCTAAGGACTGGGTAAGAATTTGTAGGTCTGATGAACTGGATCGTGATTACGATTCCAATGTTATGAATTATGACCATGGAATATTAGTGTTTGAGTCTTTTTTATTATATATATATATATATATATTGAGAAGAGGTTATAGTTGTTTCAACGAATGAAAAGTGTATATTTTAAAAAGAAGAGAAAAACACGTTTTTGGTTGTAATGTGGATTTAAAATAAAACATTATGCTCTATTTTCCATGGGAAATAAAGCATTTATATATATATATATATATATATATATATATATATATATATAAAAGTGAACAGAAAGTCAACACTTAGAGGCAGAAAGTCTGTTTCATGCTTTATTTATTTCAGGCAAATTATATTGTTATTTTTCTCGGTAATTTAATATATACGGGTTAGAATACCCACAATGCATTCTATTAACCCGTTTATTTTATAGAAAATTAGCCGAGAAAATAACAGCATAAATGGGACGATTGCATATAGCATGAAAAGACGGTCGCCTCTAAGTGTTGACTTTATGTTCACTTTTACATTTACACACGCTCTATCTCTGATATTGAGCACTTTATTCCATAAATATAGCACACCTTAAGACTATATTTTTTATATATATATATATATATATATATATATATATATTATATCTTATTTATATATATATATATATATATATATATATTCTAATATTTGATAAACTGGTCATTGATTTGAATCGCATTATTTCTGTTAGCCTTTTAGGATCTATTCTTGGTTGGTCTAAATTCTTTACAGCTCCCCCCTTTGTGTTTGTGTGTGCATGTGTGGATGGGTGGGGGATATCCTGAACCCATCTTTGTAGCGGGTGTCCATTCGTTCAAAGGCGATCGCACACATACAGAATTCTTTATTTCCCTCTGAGCCAAAATCGATAATTTTCCCGCCGTTTGTTCATGTAATAGGCCGCCGGTTCTACCAAGCTCTAAGAATGGAAAGCAGCTTTGATCGGCGAGAGGTCTTTGCGCCAAACATCAGAGCTTCAATTAACGTTGGCAGGCGAATATGTTTTGGGGTGATGGGACGGGTGTGCCGAGTGGTTTAGGGCTAGCGAATGAGCGTTAGTTTTCGCTTCCTAGCGTTGTCAGAATGACAAGAAACAACGGTCATATATCGCCTATCGCTCTGGACATTCTTGTACAGAAACGATAGTTCGAAAGCCATACTCTCAAAGAGTTAGTTTAGCGGGTTTGATCTTCACTGGAAGCAGTAAATTCGTGTCCTAGTGTCATAATTTATCTGAATTTTCCCTTTCATGAATTTATTGATGACGGCTCTCCATGACAGTGGGCTATGATAAGTTTTTAGCCACCCTTAATTGCAGCAATTTTGGCTTGTTTAATAACGTCTCTTCTTTTCTATTAAACAATACCGTGTTAGTATCAAGCTACTCTCATCTATGAACAACAGTTGACTTATATCTTGCAATGAAAGTTCGTGAAAGTAAGTGTCCACCCCTTTTTCATATAAGTGGACTCTGCCAGTGTACCTGGACTGCTGCCGTTAAATACTCAGAGTTAGACAGTCAGTGAGGGTAGTCGGAAAGAGAGAGAGAGAGAGAGAGAGAGAGAGAGAGAGAGAGAGAGAGAGAGAATATACGTATGGAGATAGTGTGAGGTAGCCTCTTGTAGAAGTCAGTTACAGAGCACGTAGACTCTAAGGAAGTCCTACTTCGAGACTGTATATATCTATCTGTATTTGCTACTAACCGTGTTCTTGGATTTACTAACAATATTACCCTTTGTATGATTGGGTAAATACATTTTACTTCTTATATTTAATTATTGCGTTTGTTCTTCATTGGAGACCGAATTCATCTCGGAATCCACAACAGTAAGGAAATTAGTGAATTTCAAAAAGTGCAAATAATAGGATGGAATCAGTGTGGTAAGTCAAATAGAGAAATTGCTACGTTTTTCCAGGTTAATCATCAAATGGGTAATCATATTGTCAAGAAATTGAATGAAGAAGGCCATTGTCTTGTGGAACAACGTTTAGGAAGACCAAGCATCGTGTCTGAATGAACGGAAAGGGCACTGAATAGGGAAGTCATCAGAAACCGTCGTCAGAGGATCAAAGACGTCGTCAACAGCATGGAAATGTCGCCATATGCGATGAGAAAGAATTGGGAAAAGAGCTAGGGTATCAAAGAAAAGTTGCAAGAAAGAAGCCTTTGACTTCAGAGGTTAACAGGAACCTTTGTATGGACTGCGCAAGAGAATTCGAGAGCAAAGATTATGAATTTTGGCAGTCTGTAATTTGGTCAGATGAAAGTAAATTCTACCAATATTCGAATTCGACATTAATTTATGTTTGGAGAAATCAGAGTGAAACTTGGAACACTGAATGTCTTCAGGCGACCATGAAACATGGAGGGATTGGAGTAATGGTGTGGAGGGCTGTCTGGTTTGGAGGGAAATCTGAGATGATTCTTGTTCACGATCAGTTGAACGGTTCAAAATACTGTCAAATATTAGAGAAAGGACTACTCCCATTATTTGAAACCAATCAGATTGACAAGAATGTCTTCCTTTTTCAAGAAGATGGAGCGCCATGTCATACGAGCAAAGAAGCAAAAGCCTGGAAGGAATCGCAAGGAAACAAGTCACTGCCATGGGTAGTCCTAGGTCCTGACATGAATCCAATAGAGCACGTTTGGGAGCACCTTGGCTAAAGACTTCGAGAGCGTGCAACCAAAATCACATCAGGGGCAACCCTTAAAGAAACATTGCTAAAGCAGTGGCAAAATATGGATCAGACGATTGTTGATAATTTGATGAAATCCATGAAAAATCAAATACAAGAACTGAAACTAGCAAATGGAGGACCTACTCTATACTAGTACCAAATGATGTTTGTTTATGTTGAGTCGGGATTGCGTAATTAAATTCTGAAATTGGATGTAGTTTATTTCTCCTGGCTAAAAGCTTTTCTTTGGCCACTGCACTTCTCATCATTTGTAGCTTGTTCTTCCAGTCCTTTATTTAATTTTTCGTCCGTTGACCAGTGGTGGTAGCACCTGTTAAGGCCCCAGGTATGATAAAATACTGAACCCCAAAACTAGGACAAAAAACTGAAAGTATAGGTTTCAAACATATCATCATCTGGTCGGGAATTCTTCTTGGATTCTCCTCATTAACGATCTCTGTCAGACATCACCGTCGGCAGGTCCTCCAGATGGCATCCAGAGTCATCTACACGTTGGTCAATGTGTCGAGGTCTTCCAACTGATCTTTTGCCGTACAATGGGTTCCATAGAAGAGTGTCACTCACAAGTTCTGGCTTACTTCACTAGGTGTGACCAGCTAGCTGAAGCCTTCTCTCTCTTGGAGGAAGGCGTCCATATTGGCGATCCTTTGATGTCCAGTGTAACTCGTAACATCCTTGTGTATGTTTCGTCAAGTGATGCCTCTTGGTATTTCGTTAGCGTCCATGTTGTTGATTGAAAAAAAGCTTTGTAAACCTGAACACTGGTGTCTTCTATCAGTTTACAGCTCTTTAAATGCTGGGAATCCCATTCCTCTCAAGGGCGGTGCTGCTGGGGATTTTGTCTTGCATCGAATCCGGCGCTTGTGGAAGGCGTTCAGCTTCTGTTCTTGACCAGCCCAACAGTGTACAATTTCACAGCCGTACAAGAGGGAGTTCACGACAAAGCTCTGTAAAATTGGACATTGCTGTCTTCTATCTGTTTACAGCTCTTTCATGTTCTCTTTGTCAGGCAAGGTATGGTGGTAGCAGCCTTAATGGTACATTTGTTTAGGTCAGTTTTAAGAGAGGGAATGTGTGATCTATTGAACCCAGGCGTACAAAGTCATGGACAATTTCTCAAATTCAATGTCTATTTATATTGGTTTTATTTCCACTTTGAATTAAGCCTCGTTTTGATATTTTATCATTTCTCTCCTCCTTGAGTACGAGGCATTTTGAAATGGTTGTGTAGTTTTGGCGCTAGATTATTTTTTACAATGATATTCACAGTGTACAAGGCTCAAGAGCCACTTAAGGTAGAGTAAGGATCATCACCCCAGGCAAAGAGATAACGCTACCAAGACTCAAGGGGAAACCGGAAGTGAAGGAGAAAGGAAAAAAAATTACAAGGAAGTGGAAACCCAAATCTAAGCAGAAAACAAGAAAAGACCAAATTAAGAAAAGAAAAGATAATTCAATATTACATAAAACTTCAGAGTTTTAGGCAGAGACTTAAGAAATATAGAGTTAAAGTAGATTATAAAAGTAACCGTAAACCCAACCCTAAACAGGAAACCAGGGATAATCCTCTGCTCCTGGTCAAATACCGGCGAGGAGTGTGAAGCTGAGGACAGGCAAATCTATCTATTCCTATTTTACAGTAGGCGCACAAAGTCATGGACAATTTCTCAAATTCAATGTCTATTTATATTGCTTTTATTTCCACTTTGAATTAAGCCTCATTTTGATATTTTATCATTTCTCTCCTCGTGGAGTAGGAGGCATTGTGAAATGGTTGTGTAGTATTGGCGCTAGATTATTTTACATAATATTTATAAAATATAGATAGATAGATATGTTTCGTAATCCGTATGGATAATTCCAGGGAAGATATAATCCGGAGAGCTCAATGCAAAAACAGAGCAAATATTAATTATATAAAGAAAACAGATACATTTAAGGGTCCATGGTGATTATAATTTATTTCCTTAAAATCGAATTCCTTCCAACCATTTCTGTCAGACATCGGTGTCGGCAGGTCCTCCAGATGTCATCCACCGTCATCTACAAGTTGGTCAATGTAGGTATGATAAGGTCTTCCAATCGATCTTTTGCCACGCAATAGGTTCCATAGGAGGGTGTCACTCACAAGTTCTGACCATCTTACCGAAGCCTTCTCTCGTTTACCGGAACTGAGATAGGAAGAAGATATCCATACAGGCGTCAGGTGTTTCTTCCAGCTGATGTCCAATGCAACTCGTAACATCCTTGTGTATATTCCATCAAGTGATGCTTCTTGGTGTTTCGTCAGTGTCCAAGTTGTTGAGCCGTAGAGAAAGACAAATTCTACCGTGGCCTTAAGGAAGTCCCTCTTAAGATTGTTAGAGAGGAAGGACTTCCGGATGGTGCTCAGATCATCTAGGACACGCCAGGCTTTACCTTTGCGGATTTTGATGTCTCTCTCCTGGAGACTGGATGTTGCTTCCGAGATAAATTCCTGGACGGATTTGATGTCAAGTTGAAAAACGGCAACATACCCGTACTATTAAATTCTATTTTGCTACCAAAATGTTTCATTATTGTCGATTTTCTCAACATTGAAATGAAACTATTATCCTCATCTTTATATTTGTAAACTTCGGCCTTCTTGATATAATTTTGTTGGAATTTCGAAGTGAACCCATTATTACGTTTACTCTGTTTTTTGGGGTTCTATAGGAGAGTGTCAACCACAAGTTACTTCTCTAGGTGTGACCAGCTAGCCGAAACCTTCTCTCTCTCTCTTAGCGAAGTTGAGATTGGAGGAAAGTGCCCATACAGGCGTTTTTTTTTGTTGGGTGTTTCTTTTAAGCTGATGTACAATGCAACTCGTAACATCCTTGTGTATGTTCCGTCAAGTGATGCTTTTTGTTGTTTCGTCAGCGTCCATGTTGTTGAGCCGTAGAGCAAGACAGATATTACCGTGACCTCAAAGAAGTCCCTCTTTATATTGTCAGAGAGGGAGGACTTCCAGATGGTGCTCAGACCATCAAGGACACCCCAGGCCATACCTTTGCGGATTTTGATGTCTCTCTCCGTTGACTGGACGTTGCTGCTGAGGTAAACAAATTCCTGGACGGATTTAATGTTGTTGCCGTTTTTTCAACTTAATTTCTCCTTAGTTGTATTTGATAAATTTTGTTTTGCCAGCATTAATGGAAAGAACAATCTCGCTGGCTGCTTCTCTGATGAGATGGAGAAGTTTGGTAGACTTATCAATCGTGCCTGACAAGAAGGAAAAGCCACACACATATATATATATATATTGAATAATTAGCATAAAAACAAACAAACAATAAAATAATTTTAAAATTCCATAGTCCTAATAGATAGTTTAAATGCCCTACAAAAAAAGATAACTCTTTATGAAGTCGTCAAAAAAACAAATGTTAGCGATTTACGACAGTTTTTATATGCACAAATCCCTTTCAGAAAAAAATAAAAAAAAAAAAAAAAAAAAAAATAAATAAATAAATCTCCATAGACACTTAACCAGACTAGACTTCCGCTTTAAATTTAGACACCCCAACCTTACCCTAACTTGACCTCTTTGAATGTAACTGAGATATTGATATTAACACCTTACGCCCTTTTCTTTTAAACAATTGCTCTAGCCGTTACCATAGTAATTTTGATTTCAATAATGAATATGTTTATAAAACACGTAAATTTCAGAAATAAGTTATTCCAAAAAAATTTCGCTTGAAGATGGAACAGAGTTTAGTACTTTAATTCAATTTAATTCAAATAATTATATTGAAGTTTTCGGCTCTTGTTTTGAAACATGAGAACTCTTATCATATTTTTTAAATTGGAATCATATTTTATATATATATATATATATATATATATATATATATATATATATATATATATAATGTAAATCTGTTTAAACTTGGCAAGTGAAAAAAAACCGAGATAGCGCAATTTTCAAATAAATTGGCATCCGAGGAAAAATATTAAAAAAAAGAAAACACCAGAAACCTTCGAACAGGGCCCCAAAAAATCGTCCAGTACCCTAAATTTCTGGTACAAAGAAAAAAAAAATAAATTAAAACGAGAAGTTCTCAATACGCTAATTAGAGCAAAGGTAAAATAAATCCTAATGAATCAGGTATTATCTACTTAGGTCTCACCACATATACTACCAAACCTAGGTTTCATCACATGGGATCATCAGGTCGAGGATCCCATGCGGTGAAACCTAACTTGGTAGTATATGGCTCATTAGGATTTATATATATATATATATATATATATATATATATATATATATATATATATATATATATATTACAATGAATAATTCATACAAAAAGTAGATTAGTAAAGTTAATGATATAAAATGGCGAAATCCCTTCGCAAACAAAACAAGTCACTCGATGAATGTTATGATCCTTGTTTTTTTAAAATTAAAAGCTGTATAAGATCTTTCTTTAATACGCAAGTACTTTCAACTGTACATTCAGTCATCCTCAGGCATGGAAATTATTTTGCTTTTATTAAAATCCAGGTAGTATTCGAGACGAGAAAATTAAATGATTCATTGTAATATAAATTGAACTGCACCACATATTTGATATATATATATATATATATATATATATATATATATAAAGTGAACATAGAAGTCAACACTTAGAGGCGACAGTCTGTTTCATGCTATATGCAGTCGTCAGGCCTCTAAGTGTTGACTTCTATAGGCTATAGTGAACATTCAACACTTAGAGGCCTTATATAGCATGAAACAGACTGTCGCCTCTAAGTGTTGACCTATATGTTCACTTTTATATTTACACACGCTCTATCTCTGATATTGAGCACTTTATTCCATAAATATAGCACACCTTAAGACTATATTTCTTCATATATATATATATTACCAGCAATATAAAAGAAAAAATTACTAGTAATAGATTTTTGTAAAAAGAAAAAAAAAACTACTCAAACACCAATAAAATTAAATTTCGGTATTAAATGACCCATGAGGAGTTGATATGCCGACAAACAACAAACAGAAGATCGTTCGTTAGATTACTCGTTGTTTCTCTCTGTTCTTCTAGTTTTTAGTACGACATGTGAGTGTCAAATTCACCAACCCTTCTTTCCTCATTATGTGTCTCTTTTTTTCTGATTCGAAGTAAAAGTGTCCCTTTTTCTTAGAACTTGGCCACCTGCTCCGTTTATGATATTCTCAGCATCCTTCATCCTTCTGTGAGGTAATTGTCCAGCATTCATATCTATCTATATTAGGACACATCTTAGTATTTATCAATCCACCCACGAGGATAGAATGTGGCACAAGGCCGGTTTAATGTGGGTATCCCCGAGCCCGTAGGCTCGGCCAAAAATATAGCCTTTTTGAACCCGCCTAGACGGGTTCAAGCCCTGTCTACCTCCCCGAACGAAACCTTGCCCTTCGGCAAAGCTTCGTCCGGGTTCCTCTCTGCTAATGCAGAGAGTTCGACAGATGCCGACTCGGAAGCTCACAAAGACAGCGTACTACACTTTGATCATTGCCCCCCTCATCTTTGTGCCGGAAGTTGTGACCTCCGGCCTATATATACTGGCCTCTCCCGTTATTTTCCCGACGTATGAGGGCCAGGCAGCTCAGTTCCTAGGATCCGACAGCACAGACACCAGAAAGAGATTATTTGATTATAGTGGTGAAGGCTTTGTACAGAACCAACCACACGTTTTTGAAGGGACGAATACAGAGACCCGGTGCAATACATGTCACAAGGTCCCCAAACGACCTTTGATGTGGCCTGGTGATTGCGTTTAGCATGAAACAGTCTGTCTTTTTTGGGTGTTGACTTCACTGTTCACTTTTATATCTACATAGGCTCTATCTCTTATATTGAGCACATAATCCCATAAATATAGCATACCGTAAAACCATTTCTTATATATATATATATATATATAAAATATATATATATATATATATATATATATATATATATATATTCTCGACTCTCCTGTCGAGATTCGACGTATGAGGGTCAAGCAGATCAGTTTCCAGGAAACCGACAGCCCGACACCGGCACATGAGATTTGATTATAGTGGTGAAGGCCTCGTGCAGGACCATCCACACTTTTTGAAGGGACGAATACAGAGACCTGGTGCACCGAATGCCACAAGGTTCCCAAAACGACCCTCCGCAGGTTTTGAATTCAGAGTTGTTCTTCTCCTAGACCAGTTGCCATCCAAGGCTATAGAACCTAGTCTGTCCTGCTATTTTACCCATTGCTGGAGGGAGAGGAAGAGGATATATATATATATATATATATATATATATATATATATATATTTTAGGATAGCTTATTCCTAAAATTTTGCTTGAAGATGAAACGGGACTAAACACCTCAATTCAACTTAATTTTAATAATTATTTGGATGGTTTCGGCTCTCGTTTTTGAAACATGAGAAATCTCATGTAGCGAAGGAATCATATTTTTTAAACAATATATATATATATATATATATATATATATATATATATATATATATATATATATATATGAAATTAAAGATAACATTCAAAGAACTAAAAGATAATATACACTTTAACACACACATCCTATTCCCTGCAACCAATAAAACTGTCAAAATGACTGAGGTAATGTTTAATGTGGGGAACCTCCCATTCTCTACAACTTAAAAGAGGCCGTTTGACCAACACAAGGACTGACCAAAATAAGCGATAAAAAAAAAAAAAAGAAATGAAACCTACAGATAAAATTCATTTTCTTCAGAAACAGATATTCTTTCCTACTACTGAAAAGACAAGGGAAATTTTCGAGGAACCCTGATGATAAAACAAAAAAATTGGCCGAAACTAGAATTTTTTTCGATTAATGGAACCTAACACAAACACACACAAACACACAAAAAAATATATATATATACAACCCAGTGTATCTGAATTTTTTTTTAAAAAGTTTCAAATTAAAAATGGTTCATTTTACACAAACACACACACACACACACACACACACAAATTGTTATATATATATATATATATATATATATATATATATATATATAGAGAGAGAGAGAGAGAGGAGAGGGAAAAAGGTGGTTTTAAAAAAACAGCGGCTCCTACTGCTATAAAGCATTACTCTTCAAGTAAAATTGAATTGAATTCTATGAGCCACTGGCGTATTTCGTATAGAGAAAAAACATTAAAATTCCCTTGCTTCCTTCTGTGCGACGATGGTCTAGAGGTAAGAGATCTGACTGTTGTCAAATCAGTTGGGCTTCGATCCCAGCCTGAAGCAATCGGGCGTCTAGCCACACCGAAGAGCTGTGATACAGCGAAACAATCTGTCTGTGGATCACTATAGATATAGATAGAATGAAGAAATTGTATAGTAGAATTTCTCATGGTCTGCCTGTGAAGAATCTAAAGAGGAACGTTCTCCTTTTTTTCTATATTAATATAGAAATTATTTTGTGTTCTATTCTTAAATAAAGAATTACTGTCGAATAACCATGAGTCTTTTCAATAAATTATTGGCTATTATTTAAAAGAGTTTTTTTTTTCCTTCGGCTTCATAAAAAAATATGAATTTTTCTTCGATATTAAAATTGCTAAGATACCCAGTGGGAAATGTCTTCATATCACCCGAGTAAAAAGAACGAGTTATTCTCTATCGTCCCAGGCGATTAAAATGCGTCGTATTAGTGACGCTGCACACAAGTGTATCGCCATAAATATTCATGATTCAATTAAGCATGAGAAATGTGGCCAAAAATGTACAACCAATTAGATAATCGTTCCGGCATCGTTATCGGCCGCCAAAGTGGACATCAATGAATATTTGAATAACAAACACGAAGAATGAGTCGTTCACCGGCCTCCTGTTTGTCGTCTGCGATCGAAACAGAAGCCATCTTTAATTGTACGAAACTTATCCTGTTCTGTAGTAATTTCATTTCTCGTCACAGATTCGCAGACAGGAATTCCCAAGAAAGATTCCAACAACAGCAGCAGTTTTTCGTCTTTAATCAAAACAGAACGGCGGCCTTCGTAGATGGAGAAAATTATTTAAAAACTGAAAAAAAAAAGACAGAGAAAGAAAAACGGAAGTTGATTGATTTTCCAAAGCAGAAGCAAGATGTTTACATGCGTCTGGACGTATTTTATTTTGTCATGGTAATTATTAAACTTAACATAGAGTATATTATATTTAAATATTCTATCTATTACCTATCTATCTATCTACAGTGTGGGGAAATAAATATTCGTACACATGAAAAATTGTATTTTTATAAATGTAAAAGCCTTAACTAAAATAAATGTTGATACATTTTATGTGTAAAGATACATTTTATTCAAAAATAGTAATAAACTTATTTAATTCTTATTCTAACAGAAATTAATGCATTTTTTTTTCATTTTAACTGATGAAAAAAGTATTCGCACAAAACAAAAAAAAGCATTTGTGGAATATCCTTTATTGAGTTCAACAGCTACCAGTCTATTCCTGTACGTCTCAACTAATGATTTGCACACATTGAGTGATATTTTGTTCCATTCTTCTTGGCATATTGTCTTCAAATTCTTGATATTTTCTGGTGCTCTTTTCACAATTTGAATTTTCAAATACCACCATAAATTCTCGTTTGGGTTCAAGTGTGGGGACTGACTTGGCCATTGCAAGACATCAACATTACTTTCAGCTAACCGTTTCCTTGTAGATCTAGCGGTATTCTTAGGATCATTATCCAGTTGGAAAATCCAATCAGGAGGTAGCCGAAGTCTCTCAACAGAACGCATTAAATTGTCTTGTAGGATTTTCTGGTATCTCTCGGCATTCATCTTGCCATCTATTATTGATATTCTACCAACACCTTTTGCAGAAAAACAGCCCCAGGTCATGATACTGCCACCACCAAACTTTACAGTTGGCAACGTGTTCTTTGGTAAGTAGGCTTCACCGTCCTTCCTCCACACATGATTTCGATAATTATGACCAAACAACTCTATTTCAGTTTCATCTGTCCATAGTACTTTTTTCCCAAAACGAATATTCTTTATCCTTATGCTCTCTAACGAATTTTAGCCTAGCATCTCTGTGTCGTTTCAAGAGGAGTGGAGTCTTCCTTGGAATGCGTGATTTCAGACTGTTTTTGTGTAGTTCATTACTTATTTTACGCTTGGTTACTTTAATCCCTAATGCACGCAAATATTCCTGCAGCTCTTCTCGGGTAATCTGTGGATTTTGTTAGATCTGGCGTCCTAATGTCCTTGCTGTTCTTAGAGAAGTCTTCCTCAGGACATCTGTTCGTCTTTGGTGTTCGACATTGTTACGGGTTTTAAACCTTGCAATGAACGAAGCAATTGTAGTAAAAGGAATATTCAGGTTGTTAGAAATCGTTCTGTAACTGTTCCCATCTATCCAAAGAGACAAAATGTGTTGTTTTTGTGAAATAGTCAATTCTTTACCTTTAGGCATTATTAGAACTGTTTCGTAAGACTAGAAATTGCAGAATGATCTGATAATGGCTAATAGCGTTAACTATAATTACTGATAACATTACTGGAACATTCTAGAATATACTTTTTTCATATCTAATTGATTATTTTATTCTAATAGTTGATTTGTACGAATACTTTTTTCACCAGTTAGAATTTAAAAAATGCATTAATTTCTGTTAGAATAAGAATTAATTAAGTTTATTACTATTTTTTAATAGTATGTGTCTTTATACATAAAATGGGCCGAGATTTGTTTTATTTAAGACTTTTACATTTATAAAAATACAATTTTTCAAGTGCACGAATATTTATTCTCCCCTCCCACTATATATATATATAATTCAATTCATGCCTGTCTTTTTCTGTCTCTATCTAAATCAATATCTATCTATCTATCTATCTATCTATCTATCTATCTATCTATCTATCTATCTATCTATGTAAATCAATTCATAGTTATCTATTTATCAAAATCAATTCATATCTATCTATCTATCTAAGTATGGAAGAAACATTTTGTGGGCTACTGAACAGGCCTTCAAATGTGGACCCTGGTGTTCTCAAGAAAATACGCCAAACACCCATAGTGGTAGAACTTGACAGCCAACTATCGCTGGGCGAATTTCTACGTGGCATGGAGGGACTCAATATGGCCAGGGCTGTTCGGGTTGACGGCCTTCCTGCTGTGATATTCCGTTACGGTGGAACACATTCAAGTCAACTTATGCCATGATCTGATTGTAAAGGTTTGGAGAGATGGAAAAGTGCCAAAAGATTGGAGGGATACAACAATGATACCTATATATAAGGGTAAAGGTACCCGGGAATTATGTGGAAATTATGAAAGGATTTCTCTTCTTTATTCGGCAGGTAAGATCTTACCCTCTGTTCTCTTGTTAAGATTAAACCCGAAAATAGTTGAAAATATGCTGCCTGAATCACGGTGTGGTTTCCGCCAACACAAAGGTTACCGAAAATATGATTTTCACAACACAACAAATACAGAAGAAAAGCTGTGAACAACAAATAGACCTTTATCAATGACTAGCAGGAGAACCCGGCGTTCTCAGTAAGAGATAGATCAAGTATCGACCATCATAAAGACTGAAAAATAAAATTGACAAAGGTTATTGTTTAAGGTTGACGGACACGCATGTCTTAATTAGTTTTTTTTTTTTTTTTTTACGAATTGGTCAAACCCAAACTGAAACAAAAACATTGTTTTCAATCTTTATGAATCTATCGATTGAATAGACTTTTATTATAAACAATTGTCTTGTAAAAGGAATTTTTAAAGCATTCTGAATGTAAAATAAAGAAAAAAGTGTGCAAGACAATAAGAAACACTACCTGCCAAAAAAAGTGAAGTTTTGTTGAAATCGGTTGAAAAATGTAGGAAATCCGATCCCATATACAAACGAACACACACACACACGCACACACACACACACACACACACACACACACACACACACACACACACACACAACCTGGGTTTTATAACAAGTATAATTCGATATGAGTTGTCCGCCTTTCATTCTGGCGACAAAATCGTGTTTTATCGTGTTTTCAAATTGATTTCGTGCAAAAACAATTGTGTTTTTCCAATTTTTGGCGCTGTCAGAACCACCGCAAGGTAATTTTACGTAGTCCTGTGAAGTTTTGTTGAAATCGGTTGAAAAATGTAGGAAATCCGATCCAATATATAAACGAACAGACACACACACACACACACACACAATCTGCGTTTTATAATAAGTAAGATTTGTAGATCTGAGGAAGGCTTTTGACATTGTTAATCTGAAAGGTCCTCACGAAATTGGGCTGTCCCTCATCCCGCTTTCTCAAGATTCTGAGGTCCTTCCATGACAGTGTGGAAGCCCGTGTCAGCTTTGGCGGTATGCTTACGGGGCCCATCAAGGTTGAAAATGGAGTCAAGCAGGGAGATATTCTGGCTCCTACACTGTTTTCTATCTACTTTCAAATTGTACTGCTTGATGCGTTCGCGGACTGCCATGATAGTCTTATGATCAGGTACAGGTCAACTAGCAAGGTTTTCAATATACGTAGGTTTGCAGCAAGGACAAAAGTCTCTCTTAGCTTAGTGCGCAACCTTCTATATGCCGATGACTGGGGCCTGGTCGCATACACACAATTCAGCACGCACAGTGGGTCATAGATCGACTATCAGGGTCATATAAGGCTTTTGGACTGTCCATTAGCCTTGACAAGAGAGTGGTGATGTATGCTCGAGGAATTCAGTATATAGAGCCATCAAATTATGTTGATGGCAGTCGACGTGGGGTAGTAGACAAATTTGAAGGTCTGTTCAGTAGCCCACAAAGTGTAGCCTCAACTGCCTCTGCTCTCTTGACGATGAGATAACGTTACGGATTAAGAAGGCCCCCGATGAATTTGCAGCAGTCAATGTCCGTGTCTGGTGTCAGAAGGGCATAAAAAAGCAGATAAAAATTAAAATATGTAATGCCTGCGTAATGTCATCTTTGCTATCAGGTCATCCCATAAGTTCTGTCCGAATTTTGAATAAAGAAAACAAGTGACCAAATGTTACATTTAATTACAGATTCAATCAACAATGTATTTTCCCTGATTATCTATGACTTCCTTCAATCTATTAACAAGCTTACTAATTCCATTACTGTAAAATTCTTTTGTCTTTGATTCGAAGAACTCACAAATGTCAGTTTTAACCTCTTCCTGTGTTACAAAAGCTGTTTCTTCTAAATGATTCTGTAAGCTACGAAACAAATGGTAGTCTGAAGGAGCAAGATCGGGAGAATAAGGTAGATGAGGAATTTTCTTCCAACCAAGTTCTTCGATCTTTTGTGACGTGATTTTTGCTGTGTGGGGTCGGGCATTGTCCTGATGAAACATTACCTCTTTTCGATTCACTGGAGCAGGTCTTTTTTTTCCTCAAAGCTTGGTTCAAACGCTCTAATTGCTGAGAGTATATTTGAGCATTAATTGTTGCATTAGGTGGTAAGAATTCAAAGTGGACTATTCCTTTGCGATCCCACCAGACTGAAAGAAGAACCTTCTGCCCATGATGTTCCCTTCTAGGCTGTGGCTGGGGTCCTTCCCTTTTACCAAGCCACTGTTTACGACGCTTAACATTTCGATAAAAGATCCATTTTCGTCGCCAGTAACAAGTCTATCCAAAAAAGGTGAAACAAGTTGGCGAGAATGGAGAGAAGAGCAGATGTCAACTCGGGATTTGAGGTTGTTTTCAGACAATTCATGAGGCATTCATTTTCCAAGTTTAGGAACTTTTCCAAGTTGTTGAAGATTACGGTGAACAGTTGTATGGTTTGAACTGAGAACCACTGCAAATTCCTCAACTGATAAAGCAGGATTTTCTTCAAGTGCTGCTTCAAGAAGCTTTTCATCAAACTCAACTGGATGTCCGGTTCGATCTTCATCTTCAAGGGTGAAATCTCCACCTCTGAATTTTGCAAACCATCTTCTGCAAGTTCTTTCATTCACACATTCCTCTCCATAAACTGAGTGAATGTTTCTAGCCACTTAGTTTGCTGAGTTTCCTTTCTCGAACTCATAAAGCATTATGTGCCTCAAATGATTCTTGGGTACTTCCATGTTAGCAGGGTTTTAATCAAACAAAATTTAATTTTATTGTTCTCTGAAATAAAATTTGATCAGTTTAAATGCATCTAAACATAAAAATAATGTTCAGCTCTATTAGACATTATAAAATACTCTTTAAATTTCGTTCATTTTAACAAAACGTTAACATTCGGACAGAACTTATGGGATGACCTGATATATTCATGTGAGACAATGGTATTCTATCGTAGACATCTGAAGATACTGGGACGTTTTCATCAGCGACGCTTTCGGTCTGTGCTTGAAATCCACTGGATGTCTTACACCCCTGATACTGTTATTGTACAAAAGGCCAATTCACTCTCTGTGGAACCAATTCTACACAAATACAGATTACGATGGACAGGCGACGTTATTCGTATGGCAGATGACAGAATTCCAAAACAATTAATGCATGGACAATTGGAAATGGGAAAAAGACCGCATCACAAGCCGAAACTTGGTTACAAAAGATTGCCTTAAAGAGTCCTTATACAAGTGCAATATTGATCTGGATAACTGGGAGACTATTGCTGAAGACAAGGTTTCTTGGAGATCTGGTATTGCTAGTGGCATCAAGATCTTCCATGAGGAATCAAAAATTATGTAGAACTGAAGAGAGGTGTTCGGAAGGGATCCTTGAATTGCCATGAGGTGCCAACCTGGCCATGTGACCAATGCAATCGGATATATCTGTCCAGGGCGGGTCAGCTCAGTCACCAGAAATCACACCAACACCAACAGTCTATTTTATATAACGATTTCGTAATGGCATGCTTTGAAGGCCCGACCCGTACTAGGTTGTATAAGTCCAGGTCAGGCCTGACATGGAAGATTGGAAGTGGTGATGACCAAAGTCTCTTTCAACCACCCGGAGATGATTTGATATGCGACATATGTGACAAGAAATGCAGATCAATGGCTGGCTTTATGAGCCACTGTGGTTAACACAACCGATAAATGCAGTGTTATTTGTGGTGGTGGTGGGTAGTTAATTGAAGAGTTGGACATGTAATGGACATACTCGCCTTGTGAGTCGACAGTCACTATTTCAAAATATGTAAATATGTATGAATCTAAATCAATTCATAGCTATCTATCAAAATCCATTCATATCTATCTATCTATCTATCTATCTATCTATCTATCTATCTATCTATCTATCTATCAAAATCCATTCATTATCTATATAAATCAATTCACATCTATCTCAATTCATATCTTAGTAAATTCATGTCTCTGTATCTATCTATCTATCTATCTATCTATCTATCTATCTATCAATTCATATCTAAGTAAATTCATGTCTCTCTCTCTCTCTATCTATCTATCTATCTATCTATCTATCTATCTATCAAAATCCATTCATAATCTATATAAATAAATTCATATCTATCTATCTATCTATCTATCTCAGTCCTTTTCATATCTATCTATCTATCTATCTATCTATCTATCTGTCAATTCATATCTAAGCAAATTCATGTCTCTCTCTCTCTCTCTCTCTCTCTCTATCTATCTATCTATCTGTCAATTCATATCTAAGTAAATTCATGTCTCTATCTATCTATCTATCTATCTATCAAAATCCATTCATAATCTATATAAATCAATTCATATCTATCTATCTATCTATCTCAATTCATATCTAAGTAAATTCATGTCTCTCTGTATGTATGCATCTATCTATCTATCTATCTATCTATCTATCTATCTATCTATCTATCTATCTATCTATACAAATTATATTAAGAAAGAGAGAACTTTAAGGTTTCATGGTGATTATAATTTCCTTTAAAATCGAAGTTCGATTCCAATTTTTGATTCGATTCTTTTGATTCGATTCAAATTCTAATTCGATTTTAAGGAAATAAATTATAATCACAATGGACCCTTAAACGTATCTGTTTCTTTATATAATTGATATTTGCTCTGTTTTTACATTGAGCTCTCCGGATTATATCCTCCCTGGAATACGAAACACATCTATCTATCTATCTATCTATCTATCTATCTATCTATCTATCTATCTATCTATCTAAACAGCCGTCAATTCATGGCTGTCTATTTCTAAACGTCAAAATCCATTCATATCTATCTATCTATCTATCTATCTATCTATCTATCTATCTATCTAAGCAGCCGTCAATTCATGGCTATCTATCTATCTAAGCAGCCGTCAATTCATGGCTATCTATCTATCTATCTATTTGTTTGTCTATCTCTTTCAATGGCATCTTCAGACGTTTGTCCATGCCCTATATCTTCCCTTGTCTAATCGAAAATTCCCAATATAACCTTCTTGCAACATTATCACATCCCCTTTTCTGCCAACCATGAACCTTTAAATGTGTCTGTTTCTTAATATAATTAATATTTGCTCTGTTTTTACATTGAGCTCTCCAGATTATGTTCTCCTTGGAATTATCCGTACGGATTACGAAACACATCTATCTATCTATCTCAATGACATCTTCAGGCTTTTGTCTATACAGTATTTCTTACCTCTTCCAATCGACAATTCCCAATATATCATTTTTTTTCAACATTAGCACGTCCCCTTTTATGCCAACTTGGTGCATCCACTGGGACCATTCTACACTTTTATTCCTTTAGCACCAAACCATTCTGCACTTATCGTCTTCACTTGTATGGTCCATTCTACACTTGACCTCTTTTATTTTGCGTTCTTGTTCTTGAGCTGCACAAATAAGCGTTTCTCTCTCTGGTATCAAATCACTCTTTATGTGCCATTTCAATCTCGTGTCTAATTCTTCGGCGAAGATAGCTGAAAGACTGCCAATGCATCCTTATTTGTCTCCATTAAATCCATTTTAAAAGTCCATCCTTGTTGTTTTCCTCTTGTATGACAGCATTCACTTTTAGACTGGGTTGGGAACTTCTGCTACATTTCTTATGAACCATCCAAGGCCTCTACTCTCAAGGATTATTAACATTTTGTTTTCTTTTAATTCTACACCTTTCCTTCTGGCTCCCAACCAGAGACCGAAGATCAGAAATGTCATCATGACATTTCGCTTTGAGCCAATTTAAAAAAAAAACACACACACACATATTTCTGGGCAACTTGTATATTGATGTTACCTGGGACACTGTTAGGAAAATTGTCCATTCATTTTCTCACCAGGCCCAGTGCTCCGATTACTATTGGTAGAGTCTCAGTCTTCATTCCCCACATCCTGTTAATCTCGATATCCATGTCCTCGTATTTGGACAATTTCTCGATAATTTTCATGGAGATGTTACTTTCGAATGGTACTCCTGTGTCAATAAGCATACGTCCATAGGCCCTATAAGAGAATTGTCATTTAATTGTTTAATTTTCATAGTATATGGGATGTTCCTAATAGGGGGAACTTGTATATTCATGTTACTTGGGTCACTGTTAGGAAAATTGTCCATTCCTTTTCTCACCAGGCCCAGTGCTCCGATTACTATTGGTACAGTCTCAGCCTTCATTCTCCCAATCCTGCTAATCTCGATCTCCAGGTCCTTGTGTTTGGACAATTTCTCAATAATTTTCATGGAGGTGTTTCTCTCAGATGGTACTGTGATGTCAGTAAGCATACATTTCTTGAATTTCTTGTCTATTGTTATTATTATTATTATCATACTTATTATAAAACCCATGTTGTGTGTGTGTCTTTTTCGTTAATATATTGGATCGGATTTCCTACATTTTTCAACCGATATCAACAAAACTACACAGGACTACGTAAAATTACATTGCGGTGGTTCTGACAGTGTCAAAAATTGTAAAAAACACAATTGTTTTAGCAAGAAATCAATTTGAAAACAAGATTAATAGGCATCGCGAGAATGAAAGGGGGACAACTCAGGTTGTTTGTTTGTGTGTGTGTGTGTGTGTGTGTTCGTTTATATCAACCGATTTCAACAAAACTTCACTTTTTTTTGGCAGGTAGTGTTTCTTATTTTCTTGCACCCTTTTTTCTTTATTTTTACATTCAGAATGCTTTAAAAATTCCATTTACAAGACAATTGTTTATAATAAAATTCTATTCAATCGGTAGACTCATAACGATTGAAAACAATGTTTTTGTTTGAGTTTGGGTTTGACCAATTCGTAAAATAAAAACTAATTAAGACATGCGTGTCCGTCAACCTTAAACAATAATCTTTGTCAATTTTATTTTTCAGTCTTTATGATGGTCGATACTTGATCTATCTCTTACTGTTACATCCCCGGGCAACGCCGGGCTCTACTGCTAGTTATTATTATTATTTATGTATGTTGTTTCCTGCTTTGTATCCTGTAGAACCGGCTCCAAACTATGGTCCTTCGGCTCTATAGGAGAATTGTCATTTATTTGATAGCACTTTTCTTCGTATAACGGATGTTCCTAGTAGGGCGATCTTCCGGTTATCTTGTATATTGATGTTACCTTGTATACTGTTAGTAAAATTGCCCATTTCTTTTCTCACGAGGTCCAGTGCTCCAATTACTATTGGTACCGTCTCAGTCTCCATTCCCAACATTCTGTTAATCTCGATATTCAGGTCTTTGTATTTGGACAATTTCTCGATTATTATTATTTCTTTTGAATTCTATTGTATATACATTTCCTGAGGAGGAAAGCAAAGAAAAATAAAGCGATCAGGAAAGGAAAATAGCGGGAAGAAGATTGATAACAAGAGAAAGGAAGATTATCAAATAAAAACAAAGATAAAAATGAGGGTGAATATGAAAGAAAGAAAAGTGAAAAGAGAACGTAAGAGAAAGAAATAGAGAAGATTTCTTCTTTCTTTCTTTCTTTCACGAGAGGAAAGAAAGAAAGAAAGAAAGAAAGAAAGAAAGAAAGAAAGAAAGAAAGAAAGAAAACACGTCGGAAAAAAGATTGAAAGAGAGAGGGAAAGATCAAGAGAACATGAAAGAAAAACGACAAAGAAAACGGTAAAGAAAGAAAGAAAAAAAAGAAAAAAAGAAAGAAAGAAAGAAAGAAAGAAAGAAAAGAAAAGAAAAAAGGAAAACTGGAAATAAAAAAGAAAGAAAGAAGAGAGGGAAAGTACCAGAAATCGTGAAAGAAAAACAAAGATAGAAGGGTTACGAAAGAAAGAAAGAAAGAAAGAAAGAAAGAAAGAAAGAAAACACGTTGGAAAAAAGATTGAAAGAGAGAGGGAAAGATCAAGAGAACGTGAAAGAAAAACAAAAAAAAAACGGTAACGAAAGAAAGAAATAAAGAAAGAAAGAAAGAAAAAAAGAAAGAAAGAAAAAAGAAAAGAAAGGAAGAAAAAACGATAACTGGAAAGAAGGAAAGATAAAATGATCGGGAAAGAAAAAAGAAAGACAACGCGAAAAGAAAAAGAATTTAAAAGTAAAAAGAAAGAGAACGAGAAAGAAAGAAAGAAAGAAAGAAAACACGTCGGAAAAAAGATTGAAAGAGAGAGGGAAAGATCAAGAGAACGTGAAAGAAAAACAAAAAAAAAACGGTAACGAAAGAAAGAAATAAAGAAAGAAAGAAAGAAAGAAAAAAAGAAAGAAAGAAAAAAGAAAAGAAAGGAAGAAAAAACGATAACTGGAATGAAGGAAAGATAAAAAGATCGGGAAAGAAAAAAGAAAGACAACGCGAAAAGAAAAAAAATTAAAAGTAAAAAGAAAGAGAACGAGAAAAAGGTCAGGAAATAAATAAAATAAATAAATAAATAAATAAAACACGTCGGAAAAAGAATGGTAGAGAGAGGGAAAGATCAAGAGAACATGAAAGAAAAACGACAAAGAAAACGGTAAAGAAAGAAAGAAAAAAAAAGAAAAAAAGAAAGAAAGAAAGAAAGAAAAGAAAAGAAAAAAGGAAAACTGGAAATAAAAAAAAGAAAGAAAGAAGAGAGGGAAAGTACCAGAAATCGTGAAAGAAAAACAAAAATAGAAGGGTTACGAAAGAAAGAAATAAAGAAAGAAAGAAAGAAAAAAAGAAAGAAAGAAAGAAAGAAAACACATAAAAAAAGAAAGGAAGACTGAGGGAAAGATTCAGAGAACGTGAAAGAAAAACGGTAACAAAAGAAAGAAAGAAAACTGTAAAGACATAAAAGAAAGAAAGAAAGAAAAAGAGAGAGAAAAAAGAAAACTGTAAAGACATAAAGAAAGAAAGAAAGAGAGAGAGAGAAAGAAAACTGTAAAGACATAAAGAAAGAAAGAAAGAAAGAAAGAGAGAAAGAAAGAGAGAAAGAATGAAAACTGTAAAGACATAAAGAAAGAGAGAAAAAAAGAGAGAAAGAAAAAACTGTTAAGACATAAAGAAAGAAAGAAATCTGTAAAGACAGAAACAAAGAAAGAGAGAGAGAAAGAGAGAAAGAAAGAAAACTGTAAAGACATAAAGAAAGAAAACTGTAAAGAAAGAAAGAAAGAAAGGAAGGAAGAAAGAAAAAAAGGGAGAAAGAAAAAACTGTTAAGACATAAAGAAAGAAAGAAGAAAAACATCTGTAAAGGCAGAAAGAAAGAAAGAAAGAAAGGAAGAAAGAAAGAAAGGGAGAAAGAAAAAACTGTTAAGACATAAAGAAAGAAAGAAGAAAGACATCTGTAAAGACAGAAAGAAAGAAAGAAAGAAAGAAAGAAAGAAAGAAAGAAAGAAAGAAAGAAAGAAAGAAAACAGTAAATACATAAAGAAAGAAAGAAGAAAGAAATCTGTAAACAAATAAAGAAAGAAAGAAAGAAAGAAAGAAAGAAAGAAAGAAAACTGTAAAGAAATAAAGAAACAAAGAAAGGGAGAAAGAAAAAACTGTTAAGACATAAAGAAAGAAAGAAGAAAGACATCTGTAAAGACAGAAAGAAAGAAAGAAAGAAAGAAAGAAAGAAAGAAAGAAAGAAAGAAAGAAAGAAAGAAAAAGATATAAACAAGGCTAAACAAAAAAGAAAAAGAATGAACAAATATAAGACAGACGGGAAAGAAAGAAAGAAAGAAAGAAAGAAAGAAAGAAAGAAAGAAAGAAAGAAAAAGAAAGAAAGAAAACAGTAAATACATAAAGAAAGAAAGAAGAAAGAAATCTGTAAACACATAAAGAAAGAAAGAAATAAAGAAAGAAAGAAATCTGTAAAGACATAAAGAAAGAAAGAAAGAAAACTGTAAAGAAAGAAAGAAAGAACGAAAGAAAGAACTGTTAAGACATAAAGAAAGAAAGAAAGAAAACTGTAAAGACATAAAGAAAGAAAGAAAGAAAACTGTAAAGACATAAAGAAAGAAAGAAATAAAGAAAGAAAGAGAGAAAGAAAAAACTGTAAAGACATAAAGAAAGAAAGAAAACTGTAAAGAAAGAAAGAAAGAAAATAAGAATGAAAGAAGAATGGAAGAAGGAACGAACGAATAGAGAAAAAGAAAACATGAAAGAAAGAAAAAGAATGGATGAAAAAAAAGGCGCGCAAAATAAGCTGATTAACTGTTAATGGCCAACTCCATTGAAAGCGTAGACATCTTTTAAAGCGGAAGACAACAACGGAAGTGAAACGTCCTTTCCACAGAAGCCAAAAAATAAGAATTATTTTGAAAAGGCAGTAATTAAAAATAAATAATTAAAAGAAGGGAGGGGGAAAATGTCGGTTTAGCTGATAATCAGCCGTCGATGTTAAGAAATGGTTCAGCAAACGATAAAAGAGTGTTTCAATTAAAAATGAATAGAGTCGCAAAGAAAAGACAGGAAAAAGCCCGCCACAAACGAAAAATGAAGAAACGCAGACGATTTTCGGAAGACCAAAGACTCTCGACCGTTTTGTTTAGAAATCAATCAATCAATCGATGCCAGTTCAGTTATCTGGACATTTCAAAACAGATGCAAAACAGTTAAAAGCGCCAAAAGTAGATTCGGGGAGGGGAGTTCAAATACCAGTCAAGTCTGTTACTTTTACATTCGCAAAAAAAAAAAAAAAAAAAAAATTAAAAAAAATAAACCGTAGCGAAAAGCAAAAAACCCCGTCTCACTTCAGCTATGAATGAAATAACATTTCCTTCTATGTTCCGTGTCTCTTTAGGACGTTGACGATCATGGCTCTCCACAATTTCCTGTCTTTTGTAGCTCTTAATAATTTGGTCTTTTTTATTTGTCTATATCTCTGAGAGGAGGCATTACGTGCATTATTTGCATAATTCGGACTTTTACCTCATCTTCATTGCCATTTTTCAACGTTTCGCCCATTGTACACTCCGGCCTTCCTCACGTGATTCGATCTCTGATATGAGGTATTATGATTACTTGCATTATTTACATTATTCGAACTGTTATCGTCATCTTCATTGCCATATTCACAACGTTTCGGTCGTTGTACGCTCCGACCTTCTTCAGGTGATTGGATCTCTGAGATGAGGTATTATGATTACTTGCATTATTTACATTATTCGAACTGTAATCCTGATCTTCATTGCCATATTCACAACTTTCCGGCCGTTGTATACTCTAAAAACTTTCTTAGTGTTTTGACACCTTTGGGGAGAGGGGTAACTACTTGCCCATAGTTGGAACCCTGACAGGTGCTACCACCCCGGGTCAGGGTGGACCTGGGAACACCAGAATAAAGAGGTGGTTCCACGCTCCTCAAAACGTCCTGATCAGAGGCCTTGCTGTTGGACGTAGTTTATCGTCTTACCCAGGACGCGGATGAAGTTTATCATCATACGTAGGACGGCTAAAACCAGTCCTCTGTTTTTTAAAGCTCAACGTTTCCCCCTTTTTTACCTTCTCCACCTATCCATTGTGCCTCTTACTCTGTAACCCTCTACCTGCTTTGTCAAACGACTCCCAAGAGGATGCTTTCCCAATCACTACAATCTTAATCTGTTTAAGTCTAGGGTTAACCGTTATCTTCCTCATTTATCCGCATAAATTGTGCCTTTTACTCTGTATCTCGAGTGGCTCCAGGGCCTTGTACAGGATAAACCTCAATGGAATGGTAACCTCACTTGAGAGATTTTTTGTGCTTGGCCAAGAGGAGGGGAATGTGTAATTTGGACTCAAAACCTGCACTGAAGAATTATCTATCAAACAAAAAAATTTCATCGAAATCGAATGAAAACTGTAGAAACGCATAAACATCCGATCACACATACACACACACACACACACACGCGCGCGCGATAACACACACACACACGATAACACACACACACGACAACACACACACACACATAAATACACACACACATTTTAAAATTTATAGATCGAGATAATATTATTGTAATAATTAAGGTATTTATTTTTATTAAAGATTTTTTATGAGATATATATCCAAGAATTATCTATCAAACAAAAATATCGAAATCGGATGAAAACTGTGGAAACACATAAACAACGTCCTTTCACACACATACAGACACACACACACACATACAGACACACACACACATACACCCCCACACATACAGACACACACATACACCCCCCACACATACATACAGACACACACACACATACACATACAGACGCACACACATACAGACAGACACACACCCACATACAGGCATACACACACACACATACAGATACACACATTTTGAGAATTATAGATATAGATAATATTATTATAATAATTTAAAGTACTAATTTTTATTAAAGTTTTTATGAAAGCTATATATCCAAGAACAGATAATAAGACAGGAAGTAGTGGAGAGCCATTATCGCCAACAATTTCATATTAGATTGTTACATATATTCGTTCATTTGTTTCTGATGTCTTGCGAATGATCTCAAAGAATAATGTTTTGTAGCATTTTTTGGGGTCTTAGTAACTCTCATCCTGTGAAACCATTTTCTAACTTTATTGGAATTTTATTTACTGTCACTCGTCATTTTCACTTAATTGGTAAAGTTCAGAAATAAAAGCAAATGAGTGCCACATGCAACACTGACCCAAGAGAAACAATTTCTAGCATTCCTCTGTTGCCATCAGTTTACTCGCTCAACACCTGGTTACTTGTGGATACAATTAAAGAGCTCGGTTAGGAAGTTCTGCTACACCCACCATATTCTCCTAATTGCCTCCTTTAGAATAGCACCTTTTTTGGTTGCTTTCTAACAATTTAAGGGTTGTTTTGTCCAACAACAATGCGTAGCTTAAAACGTTGTTTGATAAATTTCTTCAATAAAAACTTGGTGATTTCTATTGTCAAGTCATTGAACAGTTAGTGGATTGTTGGCAGGAGGTTGTAAACATTGAAGTGGAGTACATTGCTGTATGATTCATCAGAACTATTAATAAATAAAAAGTATTAAAATAAATTTAAAAAAAATGAACAAATTTATGTAACAACAATATATATATATATATATATATATATATATATATATATAACAACATGCCTGCCCGCACACACAATTCCGTAAAATACTTGTCGAAAACACAATTATACTTCGACATGAAGACAAAAACTAAAAATCCTTGAAGCATTATACATCAAACTGTTGAAACCCAACCTAAACAAAATCAACTATGGAATCTCTACAAATATCCTTAAATGTCTATAATTGGTAACAGAATCCACTGGCTTATACCAACGGTTTCCCATACTTCATACTTCTCCAATTCACTCTCGTGTAGTCATGTGTGACGTCATGAGATGCGGTGCGATTTTCGCTTCTAGCGTCTTATATGCACGCGTTTATCTTTGCTTAGAAATCATCTATGTAAACAATGACAGACTATCATCACTGTCTTGTCCGTATATTGCTTAATATGTTGTGATTGACATCTTTGATAATGGCTTATGTAAGCCGAAAGCTTAGATTGTATTAAAAAATATGGATCAATATTGTGAATTTCTTTCTTCGTTCAACAATAATGTTATTAAATCTATTAGACGTAACGAAAAAAATGGACATAAAATAAATAGACAACACTAGTCTATATTATTTAATGAAAGTGTATGAATGAAAAGATGCTGCCTAAATACACACACAATTGTTTTGCTTACCAAGAGTTGCTCACACCTGGAGTCGCTCTTCTGGTGTTGCTCTCCAGGAGTTGCTCTCTAGGAGTTGCTCTCCCGGAGTTGCTCTCCTAGAGTTACTTTCCCGGAGTTGCTCTCCGGGAGTTGCTCCCCTGGTGTTGCTTTTCCGGAGTTGCTCTCCTTGATTTGCTTGCCTAGGATTGCACTCCTGCAGTTGTTTTGCTCGTCAGGAGTAGCTCATACCTGGAGTTGCTCACACCTGGAGTCGCTCTTCTGGTGTTGCTCTCTAGGAGTTGCTCTCCTGGAGTTGCTTTCCCGGGGTTGCCCTCCTGGAGTTGCTAAATGGAATTGCTTTCCCGGAGTTGCTCCTGGAGTTGCTTCCCCGGCGTTGCTCTCCTGCAGTCACTCTCCACGAGTTGCTCCCCTAGAGTTGCTCTCCTAGAGTTACTCTCCTGGACTTAATCTCCTGGAGGTCAAAAATATTTCTCTATGGTGATTAAACGATACGATTTTTATTTTGGAGAAGTTAACATTTATAGGCCATATCTTCCTCGGGTAATTGGACCTCCTTTTCTAGAGAAGCCACCAGTTTCACTTTGTTGGGCCTAACGGATATAAGATACGTGTAAATAGTTGTGCAGTCAGCATAAATACCTAAGTATAAACTGATGATATCTGGAAGTTTGTTGTTGAAGATAAAAAACAACGTTGTTTCACGGATAAGGCCTATGGGAAGCCCGCATTAAAGTAAAATGATGTAGAAGAGTAGGCGTTCAAGAGCAAATTCATTACTCGATTTCCCGATCTACGCTTCTTCTACGTATGGACAAAATGGCAGACTAGATTCTTCTGTCTAGCCTTGGTTTGCAACGGGTGTAGGAGAAAGAAAAATTAAATTAAGATTGTTAATGTCCTTGAAAAGCCAAGAATCTATCACTTCTCATAGGAAGTTGAACCAACATAAATGTGTCTGAGTAGGCGAAGGGATTGGCTAGTTGCCCTAAGAAAGATTGAATTTGTTCAAAGGTACCGTATCCCTTTAGCTTGGGAAGAAAGCCAGTAGGTCAATCTATGTTAAACGCTTTCTGCAGTTCCAGCCAATCTATGTTAAACGCTTTCTGCAGTTCCAGCCATTTGATCTAGAGGAACGAAAACGATATTGTTTATTTAAAAGAAGGCCGTGTGAATTGAGATGTTTAACCAATTCCGAGTTGATTAGAAAAACTATATAGACAAACGAACATTGTATTTGCAGCAGATACCGGCAGATAATATAAAACTTATTGTAATATATAACTTATCTTTTTCTAAACATTGCTATGCCCGACTGACAGACGAACATTGTTTTTACCGGCAGATAGCGACCAATAATATAAAACTAGACATTGTAATTTATAATTTATCTGTTTGTAAACATTGCTATGCCTGATGGACAGCGACGGATAATATAAAACTAGTCATTGTAATATATAACTTAGCTTTTATAAGCATTAATATGCCTGATGGACAGACGAATATTGTTTTTAGCAGCAGATACTGGCAGATAAAATAAAACTTGTCATTGTAATCTATATCTTATACCTTTGACAGCAGATACCAATGGATAATATAAAACTCGATTTCGAATGTTTAAATTTAAATATTGCCAAATCGGGCGGACAGGCGAACATTGTTTTTGAACAGCAGATTTCTATGGTTGACTTCGAAAATTATACCTCTTCAAAAACAAATGAATGGAAACTTTTAAAAAGGCTTCCTTTTCGTATTAACTTAATTTTATAATTTATTGTAACATTTTACCTTTTTAAATTATTAATAAAAAAAAAAAACTGCAACGTTTTCTTTTTTCTTTTTTTTTTTTTTTTGTACTGGTCATGTTTTTCTACAGAGAAATAATTGCTTTGACCTTTCTCCGTGACGAAAATGAAGTTCACATTTGACCTATTAATTACAGCGGCCATTTTGTCTTGTTTGATATTTTGGCAGAAAGATGGTTTTCCAATTCCGGAGAAACCAATGCTGCCTGCCGAGAAAAAAAACACACACAAAAAAACAAAACAAATTGTTATCTCGAATAAAGAGTATAATCATTTTAATGTAAGCTTTGATTTGAAGCCGAAAAAAAATGTTGATCGTGTTTGTTGATATTTTATTTCATTACACAAATATCATGGTCAAAATATTCCCTGTTAACATTTTAAGATGGCTACGAGGGAAAATTGTATCGGCGAGCCGGGTTCAATTCCGACTAAGCCAGTGGTATTCACTCATGCACTTGTGAAAGGCATGAACCCGTTTATTTCTTCTCTAGCAACGAGTTAAATATCAGTCTATCCTTTCTAACCTTAATTGGCAAGCAGCCTAGGAGAAGAAAAACTAAACTAAAACCGCTAGTACTCTCGCAAAACATTAATCCGACTCTTCTGCTACGTATGGATAAAATGACAGACTAAATTCTAGCCTTGGTTGGCAACGGGTGTAGGAGAAAGAAAAATTAGGATTGTTAATTCCCCTTGCAAAGCCACAAATCCGTTACTTCGTATAGGAAGTTGAACCAACATAAATTTGTCTGAGTAGGCGAAGAGATTAGTTAGTTGCTCTAGCAGACAAATCTACTCGGAAAACAATAACGATACTATATATATATATATATATATATATATATATATATATATATATATATATATATATATATATATATGGTGACCCCAAAAACGGGAATTATTGAAGTGCGTATTACTAGACATGAGCAAGTGGCAACACTGCGAGACACTTGAGCAAGTAAACATTCGCCATTTAGAATTCAAGATGAAATTCACAGTATCCCAGCTGAAATCTTGCAGCAGTCAATGAGGAATCTCAACAGCAGATTTCAAGAAGGCATTCGTACAGGAGGACGCCATCTACAGGACGTAATTTTTAAAAAAAATGAGAATTCCATCATTGCTTAAATGGCATATTTTAAGGTTTTAATTACTATGAATAAAATATTTTTCTTCCATCACTCTTGGTTTTATTGTATTGTTAAAAAGTTCCTGATTTTTGGGTCACTATATATATATATATATATATATATATATATATATATATATATATATATATATATTTCATTATTTTTTAAATAATTTATTTAATTTATTTATTTGGATTTATTATTTTTAAAAATAATAAATCCAAATAAATAAATTAAAAAACTGGAGCCAAAATAACAGAATAGACTCCGGTAAGCAATCTAAACACTGAACGAATAATTTGTCTTAATAATCTTCCCAGACCAAGACTAACTATTACATAAGCGAACTAAGAACACCAACCCAATTTTTACTACGTTAATAAAACATCAAAACCCGAAAAGAATAAATAATACAAAATGAAATTAAAAAACAAATGAATTAACCCAAACAAATAAATAAATAAACAAGCCACTCCCGCAAAAAATCAGCCAGAATAGATCACCCACAATGCACCACTGACCCATATATATAAATAGTCAAGAAAAAAACCCAACATTCGCGGCCTGACGATTGTGCCTAGCATGAAACATCCTTTAGCGTCTGAGTGTTGACTTCAATGGTCACTTTTATATTTATATTTACATTTTTTTTAAGCATTACGCCCCGAGCAAGGCGTGAAGCCACTAGGATGCAGGGGGTTGCTGAAGATTTGGAGCGAGAGCAGATAGGAGTGATAGAAGAAAGGATGAGGAGAGGGATAGTGGATAGATCAACGCAACTGGACATATCGATTGACATTACATTTGAATAGTTGGAGATTATAGCTCTCAGGGAGACAGTAATAGGGAAGGGTGTTCCACAGGCGAGAGGTGCGAGGTATGAATCTATTGGAGTAGAAGAGACGGCTACATTTAAAAGTTTCTACAGTGTAAGGGTGGGAGCGGGATGCCAGCCTCGTAGGGCGCTTGAATTCATGGAGTCTGGGAACCAGTGAAAGCAGCTCATCGGAGCAATTACCATGAAAGTATTTGTAAAAAAGACAGAGAGAGGCGACGGCGCGTCTGTGAGAGAGCAACTGTAGACGAGACGCCAGATCAAGGCCAATTCTATTACATATCCGTCTCTGGATCTTGTCAAGAACTCCGAGGTAAACAGAAGGTGCACCAGACCATATATGGCAGCAATACTCCATGCAAGGGCGAATGGTTGATTTGTATATTTGAAGTATCGATTCCGGGGAGAAAAATTTCCTGGCGCGGCACAGAGAGCCAACTTCCCTCGCGGTGGAAGAAG